GGCCTTCGATGCACGTTGACTCACTTGTTCGCGTACAAGCGCGGTCGCTTAGCTGGTAGCCATTGCTACCGCGGCCGCTCCAACGGTATCCGCGCGCTCTGATTGGTCAGTGTTTTCCTTTAATATCTCCTTAACGAAGCCTCGGACAACATTTTCGCTAAGGAAAAAGTTGTTTCAAATCACCTCCCCAACCATCCCTTTCCAGGTGTTACAACATTTTTGGGACACCCTGTATATCAGCAATCGATCGTGACACAGCACAAAGAAAGACGTAATAAATTCATATTTTTCGTACAATTTACAGTGGATGTAGAAAGTATTCGTACACCGTTCAATTACCATAAAAGCTATGTGAAATTGTAATTTGTTAATTTCCCAAATTACATAAATAGCTATTTTCTTGTTGTTGTAATCTATCTATTCTAGAGATTTCCGAGAATATGTAGAATGTCATTGTTTATAAAAAAATAAGTTAATTAATTGCGATTTTACATAGTTTTTTTGGAAATTGATCGGTGTACGAATACTTTCTACACCCACTGTAATTACTTATTTATTATTCGTTTACGCAGATCGAATAATAGAGGTTCGGATACGGATGGGTCTACTTTACGTAAGATTAGGATTCGTTGAACTCACCACCAGTGCTGTCTTCGTTGGTTTGCAAGTCGGATTTCGAAAGTATCGGTCAATTTTTATGAGTTTAGGAAAAATGGTAGTTCGATGCTCGTTGATTAAATAATAACGAGACGCGACGCTGCGGAGTGTGCCGCATAAAACCAGAGATCTATTAATAGACAGGATACTACGACAGCCCTGGTGGTAAAGAGAATTGGTTCAATCGAGAGCGTGTGTGACTCCGCGCGAAATACCTCGGTACGAGACACGCGCGATTTTCGACTTCTGCTCGATACTCGGCTCGCCCCACGCGATAGACACAAACGACTCTGGCGGAGACCCGCGATTGCTGCGGTAGATAAATATTATTGCAACTCCCGAGCGCTCGAACCACTTGATAGTATAAATATATCTCATCGGAGACGGTGGCAAACACACCAACTATACGCGCCAACGTTCCATTGTCGGCTATGCAAAGCAAACAAAGATCCAACTAGAACCACGGTTACTGACAAATTTGCATAATTCTATTAACTAGAGCCTCTCGCCTAAAACGCGTACAATGTACATGAGTACACGTGCCACGTGTATCCGGTTTAAACGTTCACGAGACACGGATATCAGAAAACACGTGTATCATTACACGTGAAAAACATGAATAATCGTGTAATACACTTGTATCCGTATAATATGGGCACGGGTAACGTGAATAACCATGTAATAGACGTGTATCCGTATAATATGGGCACGAGTATTTATTACACTTCTACGCGACTTTACGTGTTACACGTGAAACTCGTATACATGTGCACACGTATAAATGGGAGCTCTACTATTAATCCACGATGGCTCCGTTCAGCTTGTAGTTCGATATGCAACGTATAGAGATATGTGAACCTAGCACTCGACCATTTAAAAATTAATTTTTTTTTGTATGGAAAATGATAGTATCTCGTTTGTACTTGATTGTACCACCCATAGTTTCGTTTGTACCTTCATCAATTAATAAATAAAAAAATTAAAAAAATGGTCAGCACCCGACATTGAGATTTTTGAAATCCGTTTTTTCCCTATTCTTTAGAATCGTTTGTACGACTTTTTGTTTCTAGTTTACTAGTTTACAACAACAACAACAACAACAACAACAACAACAACAACAACAACAAC